AGTCAGGTATGTTACAATTCCACCCAGCAGCTCTCTCTATCTCATCCATCCTAGTAGAAGTTACACACCTTCCCAACAGCGCCCTCATGTCTCCCACAGCTAAATTAATACCTTTAGTTAAGGAGTCCACTACATTCAACCACTTACTTCCTCCTTCTGTGAGGGGAGGGAGTTTGTCCACTAACGCCTGCACATCACCTAGCGCAAGAGGTTTATAACGTATCTGATTTCCTGCCTGCAGAAGGAGAAAAGAACCAGTACTTAACGATGGATCCACGTTTTCAACAGGGATAGAAGCGTGATCTGGTGGTGGAAGAGCTGCCGACAAATCAGAAGTAATTCGTATTGCTTGTGGCCAAAAAGGATTCTGTACGTGTGTCTGGGGCGTGGCAGGCAATTGGTGAGTACAGGTGAGCGGGTTTTGAGACAACCCTGCACGATTCTTCCAACCCTGCAGACCCACGAGCACGCCCTCTCCATCCTGAGAGCTGTCAGAGGGAGATGCTGAGGGTGCAAAGAGGGAAGAAGTGTACAAATCAGGGTGTCCTGTGGGATTAGCAGACTGACTCCACCCATCTTTAATCACCCATTGCTGTGTGTTCTTTGTGTTCCCTCCACCCTCGGTTTGGAATGGTGTACTGATGGACTGTGTAAAACACGGCTTCATTCCTGGTGTCACTAGGGGTTTTGTTTTAACTGGGATGGGTGACTCCCCCCTCAGCTGCGAGGGGGTGTCAGTGACCTCCCCCACCTGTAACGTCCCATCTGTTATGTGATATATAGGGTACATTCCTGTAGGGGGATGTGCTGACTGATTGCTACTTGAGTTATAAGGAGGGGGAGCTGAACTACCCACTTCCTCACTCTTTGTTTTAGGCTGTTCGATAAGCTGCTGTTTCTTCAACAAATGAGACGAACCCTGTGCCACAAAGACCAATTTCAACCACTCCTTTCTTTCATATTTAACCTCCCTCATTAACTTTCTGTATTTACTTTTCTGCAAGGCGTTTGCCTCTCTCTTTTGCTTGTCAAACTTATCCTCATCTCTCGAGCATTCTTTAATTTTATCCCACATTAAAGATATCACATCTTGTCTCTCTTCTGCATTATTTTCTATTTTTTGTAATTTTTGCACGAGAGCTTTTTTTAGCTTTTTATTATATTCCAGCATCTCTAGTGCCTGTCTCACAATTTCCACTTGCTCCTTTACCGGTTTAAAACTTTCCTGCTCGCACTTTTGTAACATGAGACGCTTCACCTCTGTGTCCATTCTCTCAGGAAGTTCAAACACACACCACACACCTCTTTTTTATTGTCACTGGAAAATTCTGGAACTTTTTTTTCCTACACATTCATACTGTGGTCTTATATTTGACAAAAATACAAACAACAAAATAAACAAACAAGATACTGACCACTTATTTCAACATTCACGCGAGTCAGACGCCAGGAATAATCACAATGGTCACCCTTGAAAATGTTTTTTTTTTTTTTTTAAACAAAATGTGTTGACTTCCCTTTTAATATCCTAGAAGACAGCAATATTTGTGAACCTGTGACTTCTCTACTCACCACAGATCATAAGTTATTTTATTCAACAAATCTAATTATTAGTTCTGATTTTATTTTAATCTATTCGGTGCGTGCGTCGTATTTAATTAATTACTATCCCACCCAGCCTCGCGAACGCCCACCTACGGTCAATTGTGAGCGAACTTTAATTGATACTGTTTTAAAAGTTGACTGCCAATCCAACAAGTTTACAGTAAAACTTAGTCTAATGGAGTTACAGAGTTGAACAGCGGAACCATTTTCCTAGAACTTTCACTCCTCCCCCGAGAGCCCGTCGGCTCCTGGTTGGCTGACTAATGCGCAGTTTATCCCTGAGGCTGGTTTTATTACTTTATCTTATTCTTACAGTCGACGTAAACTTCTCTATTTAAAACTATTTATTTGGGAGTCATACACACTGAGCAAATTTGCCTATAAAAAGCCCAATTTTACAGATTTCGTAATCAACAGGTTCTGCTTACCTTTCTTTTATAGCGCGCGCAGATTCAGTGTGAAGGACTCGGTAACTATTTCTCAAATCTCGGTGGAACCTCCATTTTGTTGTGTTTTTCTTTATTTCTCCACCCGAGCTCTGTTACCGGTCAATCCTGCAGGAGGAGTCAAGACACGCACTTCACAATACGACAAACGCACCTTCAAGTTTATGAATATTTAATAAGCAAAGAAAGTCACAAAGTCAAAAAGTAGTCACAGATTCACAAGCATAAACAGTGGATTAGTTAAATGCAGTCATTATTTTAACATATTATTAAATGGATGCATCCATTTTAAACTATACAATACAACCTTATTAAGGAGGATTCTGAAGAAGACCG